TTTTCGTCATATGAATCTGCAATTTTAGTTCCAAACTGTGAATGGGATATTTTGCAGTATACCACCACTTTTGAAAGAGAATGTACATAAAAGAGCGAGACACCTTTAAGAAAATAGAAGCTTACACTGATATGCAAGCGGTCCCTGGAAAGCACTGGCAGTTACTTTGAAAGCTTTTATGGTATGAAGATGAAGCCAGAAGGAGAAGATGAGATAAAATGATTCAAAAAGAAATGACAGATCGAGAGCGTTACAAGCTATGATCTCAATTTTAAAAACCGATTCAATGCGACAAAAAACTCTTCAATATTGCATAGGTCACTTACAAATGCATGTTTGTCAATAAGATCTTGAAAATGATGAAGCACTTCCTTGAAAGTGGCTAACTTCGAAAGAATTTTCAATAGCAGGATCAAACACGTTCAAGAGAGTGAGCGACGCAGAAAACATGACTTAGTTAAGGGGAGAAACAAGAAAGAAGACTTCTACATCCGTCATGGGTCGACAGTCTAGACGGAAATAACCAAAAAATTCCGTCTCATGCTCATTCGTATCGGAAATAATGCAAAGGAGGTAATATTGGCTTCTCCATGAAGTTTCCATGGACAGCGGATTAGACATCTTAGACAAACGGCAATACATACACATAATTGGTGAGCAAAGAATGATTAAAAAAAACAACAAGATTTCACCATAAGCTATGTTTAACATCGTGTCTAATGACAACGAACGCCCTACCTAAACAAGGAGAAACATGAAAAAAGATTCAGTTTCGAATTAAGAAAAGGTTGATATATAATTTCTAATAAATGCAAAAGGCTGATCTGACTCACATTTGTGACTATAAAATGATCAACAACGATGAAATATGAAAACCATTGCAAAATACTTTACCTCAATTTTCGTAGCATCTTTTAACTGTTCAGCCCTGGTGACGTATTGAGCTATTTGTTTAAAAAGCGGTTTTCTTCGTTCATCATTCAGCGACATGGCTCTAAACCGAAAACTTCACATACTTGTTAGATTAAAAGAAGAGAAAATCATGATGACGAACTCGTCAAATACTAACTCTTACTTGACCGCTTGATCCAATAAATCAATGCCTATCATGTAATCTCGTAAGGCATCGTTTGGTTTGTCATTCTTGTCGTAGTTCACAGCGCTAACAAGGGCAATCTTGGCTTCTCCGATAAGTTTGTCTTCCTTACTCATCGGCAGTAATCACTCTGTAGAGAAAAATAGATGGAGTGTAATCCCCTGGTAAGGAACCTTAAGAAAAAAAATGGAAATCGTGAAAGAAAAACCGGAAATCTGACCACACAGCACAAGTCACAGTTTGCTCAAAAAATCAGGTGAGCTAACCGGCAGAGGGTTAAAGGCAGCAGCTGCGGCAGCGTAGTGGGCTGTCTTCTCGCCATTGGAGCGTTTCTGCAACCCTCGTGTTCTTTCTGTAGAATTTAGCTTACTTTGCTTCATATCAATTATAATTTTACATTTATTACGCATTTTTGAGTGCGCGAGTGAATGGCCTTTATTTTACTGAGAGTGGTTGCCTAAAATGGCGCATGTCGTAACTCTTCCAATGTA